GGGTCCTTACAGGTCACAGAACCATACAATCTGTAGGACTGAATGGGTCCTTGCAGGTCACAGAACCACAGAATGCATTTCTGGAGAGATCCGGAGGGGATGCAGCTGAACTCTGCTGCTCAGCAGAGGGTGACGTTCAGGCCGTGGTCACCATCCACCCGTTTGTGCAGCTCTGGTGCAGAACCCAGAGCACGACGCGTGCTCCTACCAGCCTGCTGCGACCCTCCGCTCCAAAGTCCCTGCACAACAACCCAGAGAGAGACATTCTTCCACCAGCGCCCCCCTCCACGCACATCCGACCTTCAGCACCCCAAAAGCCCCCGAAATGATGGGGCCAGGCCCGTCCTCGAGGTCACCGTGGGGTCCTGTGGGGCTCCAGCACTTTGCTGAGCCGCCTCTGAGCTTCTTCCAAGCCCGAGCCGGGCTGCATTTCTCCACCTCTGCTCCGGAGCTGCAAAGCCGCTTCGCTGCTTCCATCTGCTGGCCGCTTCCTCTTCCAGGCTCCTGGCACGGGGGACTGAAGGCTGGGAAGGGAAGGAGCCCGGATTGCTGGCTTTGCTCCTTCTGCCATGCGCTGACTCACCGCCTTAATGAGTGTTGAGGAGCTAATTACTGGTTCCCACGAACCAGAAAATCCAGTGCTTGATTACCGCCAGCAGCCAACGCTGCTTTACATCCTTTACATCCCCTGGGTCAGAAATCAAACCATTTCTGGACCCGTGCAGCTTTGAGGTCAGCCCTTATGAAAGCAGAGCGGGATCCGTTTGAGCCACGTCCACTGCAACCAATTCAGCAGTGAAGACAAAACCCCAACGCTGCAAAAACCCTCAGCACTGCAAGTGCATTCACAGGGAACAGACGGAAGAGAAACCCTAACGAAGAAGCAGATAATGAGCTAATTAAGGGATTCTTCCTGCCCCTGCTTGCACCAACACCAACCAGGTTCAGGCTGCGAGCTGCTGAGAGCACCACAACTCCTTCAAAATTCACCTTCCAACAGCAAAGCAGCACCAGGTGGCACCTGGGTGTTCTTTTGGGGGCTGATGCTCAGCCACTTTTTGGGACAGGTGAAAAACGGGGCTGTGCGTAAAGCAATGCGTGGTGATGGAACTCGGCCACATCCAGAGCTGAGATCCCAGCCTGGCTGCAAACCTCAGCAGCGGCCCTCTGTAAAGCCGCTCACCTCCGTCTCTCACTTCAGATCAGAGTTTTTACACCTTTCAGCAGGAATCAGTTTTACTCACAGCCTCACGTTGCCAAGCGCTGCTGGAGCAGCTTCACAAACGAGCAAAGCTTTCCCCTGTGGATGGGGGCGAGAGAAAAGACATCAGGACGTCCCACAGGAGCCCTGGAAGCGGCTGTGAAGTTCTGCTCCGGACCAAGAGCAGCCGGAGGGCGAGCAGCGTGGTTTTTTGGGTGTCCACCTGCCTACAGTGCAGCAGAGCAACAGGGAACGCGCAGAACGCTGCCAGTTCCACACCAAAAAGCTCTGGGATCACACGCAGCGAGCGCTGATCTCCAATTAAACCGGCTCAAACCTGGTTTACAGAAGCATCAAAGTGATTTCAGGGCCCTGAACTCTGGGGCTCAGAGGCAGGAGAGGCACGGAGCTCAGCGCTGCTTCCCAGAAGAGCCCTGCTAAGAGCTGCGCTCAACACCTGCAGTTTCTTTGCAGCTGCACCGTGAGTAACAGACAGCTTTCATGCTGCAGAAACCAGGAGAGAGCAGAAACCGGGCTGAGAATTAACAGGAATGGCAGCGCTGAGAGGCTGGCACGGCCCCTGCGCTCTCTCCAGGGGCTGTGGGGAGGAAGGGGACCCTTCAGAGCGCTGCCTTTCCTCCCACTCCTTCACAGAATCACAGAATCACCCGGGTTGGAAGGGACCTCAAGGATCATGTAGTTCCAACCCCCCTGCCTAGCAGGGCCACCAAACACACACATTCAGATCAGGTTGCCCAGGACCCCGTCCAACCTGGCCTTGAACACGTCCAAGGACGGGGCATCCACAGCCTCCCTGGGCAGCCCGTTCCAGGGCCTCACCACTCTCCTTGTAAAGAACTTCCCCCTAACATCCAACCGAAATCTTCCCTCCCTCAACTTGGACCCCATAGGACACCCACAGGCCACCCAGTGACGCCATAGAGCACCCCCTGACCCCATAGAGCACCCCCTGACCCCATAGAGCACCCCCTGACCCCATAGAGCACCCACTGACCCCATAGAGCACCCCCTGACCCCACAGGCCACCCACTGACCCCATAGAGCACCCAGTGACCCCATAGAGCACTCCCTGACCCCATAGGCCACCCAGTGACCCCACAGGCCACCCCCTGACCCCATAGAGCACC